TAAAGTATAACGTACGCACAGTCGAAATAGAGTACAATACTTTATAATAAAGTACGGATGGCAACCATAGTAACTACCTACTTTTTATTTTAATGCGCTATTCTTTGTTGGTGATTTTTATAATAAATAATATATTGAGGAATTTCTTTAGTAGTAGGTATAATTTATAAATTAAAGAAGTGGATTGATTTGAAAGCAAAAATCTCACAACTAAAGGATTACATTGATAAGAGTCCTGAAGGTGTGTTTTGGTACAGTTTTACACTTTTGAGTACACATTTCACTTAATGTGGGAGGAGTTTAAAATATTATTTTTGTATTGTAAAAATCTTATCAGTACTGGTTTTAACTCTTCAATGATCGTACACAGAAATAAAGTGGAAGTATCTGTGTGTAATATCCCCCAAAAACTGCGTTCTTTAAGCTATTTAATATTGATGATGTTAATACACAAACGATTCTTTTAAAAAATATTTTGTCTGTCTGCCTGTGCTAACCGTCTAAAGTGATTGTACATATCAATAAAGTAGAAGTAATTTATTTATATTATTTTAAAAAATATTTTGTGTCCCTAACGGTCTAATCATCGAAACAGCTGAAAACCGTTTTAATAAAATTACAGACATGAATGAGAAACTGGCAAAAGTGATCTAAATAATAGACAATTACAAGTAATCGTTGGAATTGGAGCAGTATTAAGGATTCTAAAATTTAATTTATTAGGGAAACATAACCGACGTTTCGTCCCTACTCTTACTGCTTTCCCTAATAATTTTACAATCTTTAATACTGCTCTAATTTTCCAACTATTACATGTAATTGTTGATTGTCTACGATATTTAAAAGGGGAAGAAACGACCAACAAAGAGCTTTTTAGAATAATAAAGTTTTACATGTGCCTATATGCATTAGCTATTGTCAAATGTAAAACAAAAATAAAATTTCACTTTAAATTGCTGATTACTATTATATTTATAAAGTATTGTATGCAATTAAATGATTTTACACATCTGCAGTCATTCGTCTCTTTGGATAAGTAAATGTTCTCGTTTTTTCCCTCGAGAGTATTTTCGTACTTATCAAAGACAAGACTAATGCCTGTAATGCCCCACTAAATAAAACCGGGAACCGGGATTACGTTTGAAAAATTGCTTTGGCTTTTTCTCGCCTCGCCAGCTAAATATTGAGAACTATAAGACGAACTTGCTCTGTTTTATTCACCGGAACGTTTGCTCTCGGATATAGAGAAGAAAAATGGAAATTGAATGTGGAATACTCTTCGACAGTGTATTATAGAAATGGCACATCACTGTCTTCGTTTTTCCTTTCTGCCGTTCAGCCGATATCATCAATAATTTATTTTATGTCCAGATGCTAACAGATATTAATATAGATCAAGATCAAAATCTTCTGTTTGGAGAGACGTACGAAACAAACAACGGCCTTTTTTTAGGGTAAATATTATTTACAATTTTCTGGATGTGATATGTTTTACATTAATTTAGATATTTATCCAATTTTTGTAGAAGGTCAATACTTATGCTAGAATGAGTGTATTTGTTGTGGTCGTATCTATGGTATCCTTGGTAATTATTAACAAACATCCCATTCTGTTATGATTTATTTAATTTGAAATAATCCAATATGTCAAGCATTTATTACCTTTATGGGGTGTTTATTTTCATTTAAATGTAATGAAATTTACGAAAACCAAGTTATAAAGTATTTCGCCCTTTATTTTAAAAGATGTTCAAGTGCAAAGTTAACAATAAAATTAACAAAATGGAGTATCCAAGTCGTTGTAATTTATTTGAAATAAAAGGTGATATAGCTACTGTATATATGCGTACATAAATTCTACTTTATCAGAATTCTTCTTCCACGAATTTAGACAAAACAGACTGAGGGACTCACGCAGCTAGCAAGATAAGACGAAAATATAATAAGCAAGGCAAGAAATTTTGTTTTGTGCATCAGTAATTTTAACCTTAAACTTCTCTTACAGAAGGGATTCAATCACATTTACTGTATGCTATTTATTTAATGTTTAGAAGAAACAAAAATACAAGTAATTGAAAGTTCTGGACTGATACGTACAAAGGTGCTAAACGTCGTTTGTGAATTGCAGAATTTCGCGAAATTTTATACTAATTTGTTTTTTAAATTTTATTCTTGCACAATATACTATATGTTTAAAAATAATACGTCCTGTTGGATACTTCATAATAGAAACAACGTATTTTAAACTTTTCCAATTCGAAATCTACATCGATTATTTTCAACTTATCTTCCTTGTCTAACTTTGATAAGAATGTCCGAAAGAAAGTATTTTCTTGCAGTTTTTCAAACTGTAATATTCCTCAGAGAAACATTTCAGGGAGGATAATAGTTAAGGAATGTTCATGAAATTCCGGCAGTATTGATTTTGTTCCCTGCAGGTCTGAAACTACGCTCTCGCTTCGGATTCCACTCCGAACAGGAGCAGATGTTGCTTCATCGCTTCCATTGGCACAAACTTGTTGTAATTTTCATACTTTCTCAACAACGGAAACATTTTTGTTTGAAATTTTTGGGAAAGTTTTATTTTTTATTATTAAAATTACACGTATCCAATTGGTATTCGTAATCTAACGTTTTTTTTTGCGATACCTATTTATAATTTTAACTCATCAAGTGAAAATCTTTGATGATATTTAATCGTGTTTCGCACTTTTTTTAAAATAGTTGTTTAGCAAAAAAGGTTTCATATTTAAAAATACAATCTAGCATTAATTACTGATTAGTACATAAAAATGTAAAACTTTTATAAACGTTTATTACTAGCTTAATGCGATTTGAGTCTTCGGACGTCTTGTTTGGTGTAGTTGTCTTTATATTTCAGTTTTAGTAACTACCTCTACTAAATATTTCAGTGTTAATATTTTATATTTTATTTGCGTTTTCTCTATTTTTCATTTTCAAACAGAGATACAGTCGTTTTAATCGCTATTCTTTAAAGACTAGTCCAACAATGGTCACATCATAGCATAGTCATCCTGAATACTGTTTTCATGCGGCCTTGCGGTAAAAAGAGGAAAAAAACTATTCAGATCTCACATTTTTGTCATAAGAAATGTGCAGAATATTCGAAAAACCGGCGTTCTTCCGGTTGCTAAGCAATGTTCTAAACCTCTAGGTTATGTCGCTCGGTGTGTGGATGGGAAAAACTTCACTTTTAAACTTTTGGGTGTTTCATTCCCACCAGCTACTAATGCTGGTGGGCGGGCAGTCCGTTCAGATTATGCCGGAAGGTAGGGTGGAAGGCCCTCTTCAGCGGGTGAGAAAGATAAGTTGGACGAAATGAAGACAGAAGAGAATGAAAGA